CTTTCCTTTTATGGTCAATTTCCACCTTCATTATTTTGATGTCTGACAAAATATTTGATATGATTTCTATTTTTATAACTTGATGGGTACTTGAATTATGCCCCAGCACGTGGTCTATTCTGGATAATGTTCCATATGCACTAGAAAAGAATGCATAGTCAGCTCTTCAAGAGAGGGTCACATACATATGTTAACCCCAGCTCTTCTAATTCATAATTTAGAGCTCTTCTTTCTTTACTTATGTTCTGTCTGGTCAGTGTCAAATATGAGAGTGGAGTGTTAAGTCTCCCTTTTCTATTGTGGTGCCTTCAATACATCTCTCAGTCTTACTGTACTTTTTATAGCTGACCCTTAATTTGATGCATATATATTGGTAAGAGTTAAGTCCTTTATCCCTTAAAAACATGCAGAGTTCATCTCTATCTCTTATCTTCTGCAGCTTCAGTGATATTTGGTCTGATTAAAATATAGTCATCCCTGCTTTTATACTACCATTATCTTGTATGATTTTTTTCATTCTCTTACTTTGAACCTCTCTTTAATCATGTGAATTCAAGTGTGCTTATTGTAAGCAGAAGACTGGATTTTGTTTCTACCCAGCCACTCTGTGTCTTTTGACAGGAGAGTTCAATCTGTTGATATTAGGGAGATTATTGATGTGAAAGAGTTTGTGGCATTTGGAATTCTATTACAAGAAGGATAGTGCTGAAATAGTTGAAGTCATTCTTTTTTTGCTGAGATCCTGAGCATTATTATTTTTTTTGCTGGAGAAATTATATAATTCCAATGTGATTGATCAAAAATTCAGCCAAATTTATAAAACAAACACTTTTTGCACATACAATCACAAGGTTAACAATGAAGTAACTGTGGAAGGAATTACTTCACAAGAAAATGCACTGTAGCACTGTCCTCCCATTGTTCATTGATTTGCTCTAGCGAGCCCAGTAACGTCTCCATTGTGAGACTTGTTGCTGTTTTCTTTTGAATTTTTATTAGTGAAACACCATAAGGTACAGTTGTAGATGTACAAATTTTTGTGCTTGGGTTTCGATTATACAATGATCAAATACCCATCCCTCCACCAGTGCCCATTTTCCACCACCATGGATAATATCCCTCCCACCCCCATCTCCCCCATCCCACCCTGCCTCTGTGGCAGGGCATTCCCTTTTGTTCTCTCTCTCCTTTTGGGTGTTGTGGTCTGCAAAAGAGGCATTGAGTGGCAAACATGTTCAGTCCATAGTCTACTTTCAACATGTATCTCCCCTCCTGGGAGGATCCTCCAAACACCCTTTATTTGGTGCTCCCTTCTCTATCTGAGCTGCCCTTTCCCCTAGAATGCCTGGCTGGCCTCTAAGCTATGGAGTAATCCTCCTGGTGCTGGAGATCCTGAGCATTATAAAAACCAATCCTAAACTCTAATGTAGCCATTAAAAATCCAATGCTATTCATAATTTCTATTAAACTGCCAAATTTACCTTGAATCTTATTTCTCAGGTATCTATTTCAGAAAAATAAGTAGTAAATTTCCCCAGTAAACTGGAACCCCAGAAAAATAGAAGATTCTCACATCTTATATGCTCATATATAGAATAGTATTATCCATTAGCCTATAAATTCCTCTTTAAATGCTTGAACCCGCACCTTAAAAATATCCTAAACACATTGATCAAATTTCAAATGAAATATCTTAGTTCTACATTTGTTTGGAAATAAAAACTCCAAAAATACATTTTCCTCTTAAAAAGGCTTAACTAATACAGAATGATTCTTTTAACTGACTGATGAATAATATAGCTTATGTAAGACCAGCCTATGGGTCTTCCCCAGAGTCTCCTAAGCTTTCTTTTTAGGTTCTCCCATTGATTTCAATCAATGCTTTTGTGCTGATATTCCCAAAATTACTTCCAGACATGTTTCTTCTCCAGGCTCTTTGAGCCAGAGCTCCAATTGCTTCTCTGGGAACTTTAGCTGTTTGAAGCAATGGAGTTAGAGGTCTAGAGTCAAGAGAAAATCTATTTTGAGGCATAGATTTTTCTGAGACATCAACATCAACAGTCTCCTGCCCCCGTGCCTGACTGTCCTCGCTGCCGGGGCCCCTTGGAGGGGAGCGGGTTGAGCTCTCCTCCCCGCCCCGACCAGGGCTCCAGCAGCCAAAGACCTCCAGGACCAGCCACCACCATGCTGAGACCACTCTCCGCACACATGAAGGTACTGGCAGAGGGACAAAGTCACGCGGGTTCCGGGGCCGAGATCTCCAAGCCTACTCGGATTTGGGCCGAGTATCCTCCACCCAGATCCTCCAAATTCCAGTAGGCGGGGGTCACACCCACCAACTGGCTCCCTGGCGCCGTGTAATCCCATCAGCGGCCAAGACTCTGAGACTATAAAAACCAGCTCCCGGAACCGCGCGGCCGCACTCCCGACCATGCGACATCCTATTATAACATCTTATTATCTCATTCCTACTTTGGACAAACTGGCAGGCTACCGAATGTAGCCTGCCCACACGGCAGAGTCTGGCAAACTCCCCGTGGCGTACCCAATATGCCAAATACCAGTAACAATGATGGGTCTCATTCTCCTAAAGATCCTTGAATATAATCTCAGGGCTAGGATGAAGGAGACGTTACTGGGGCCTGCTCGAGGCAATCGATGATTAACAGGATGATTTGTGATTGTGATTTGTGATCAACATCAAAGTAATACACCCAAAATTCATCATATTCCAGGCATATCTATACCTAATTTTCTTCCTATCCACACCACTACCTGTTGTAGGTACCACAATTCACCATAGTGTGCAAGCTAGAAGTTCAAGTAACATACTGAACAGTTCCATACACACTCTATGTAGCAACAGGAGAGATCTTTCTTTCATTTTGAGGGGGTTGGGGAAAATCTTTCCAAATAATGCTCAGGGGATCAGGGTACCATTCTCTTGTCCAATGGTATGGTGTTCAATGCTATGCCTCAAGCATATGGTGCTTATTGGGCCCTGCAATGCCAGGAACACTAGGGATACATCTGTAGTTCAGGAGATACAGAATGGTAGGATTAAATTAGGTCCATCTTCCATCCTATCTGGATTCCCAGGATGGTCCTTTAATTGAGGGAGAAGCACACTTGGCGGTGCTCAGGGCTTACCCTTAGTGGTGTTTGGGGCACCATATATAGTGCCAGTGGTAGAACTGAGGTGGCCCAAGCAAGGCAAGTGCCTTAACCTCTGGACTCTGCCTCTAGCCTGTTTTATTCTTAAACTCCAAGTATAACTGGATGTGATTTCCCAGTAAGGCCAAGATTCTTAGATAGATCCATTTATGAAGTTCTAAATTACATCTCCAAAAAGCTTTATTATTTTCTGCCCATCATTTTTTGGTCACATCTGATTGTGCTCAGGGCTTACTTCTGGCTCTATTACTCAGCATTTAATCCTGGCTCTGTGCACAGATATCACTCTTGCTGGTGCTTGGGGAACATATGAAATGCCAGGAATTGAACCCAGGTTAGCCATATGCAAGACAAATACCCTACCTGCTATACTATTGCTCCTGCCCATTTCCAACCATTTTATATTTCCAAAGAGCTTTATTATATTCCACCATTATTCTGCATTTCAGATTTAATTCTTAAAGTATATTATTTTTTATAGGCATAAAATATTTTGACTCATCTCCAGATCATCACATACATATATGTGATGCTATCAAGGAACTAACTGGCTTATTTCTTCAGGACCACATGCGGGGCAAAACTCTTGCATCAAACCACACTGGCCTCTCTTGCTAATACGCTGTGTGTGTTTCAGCCTCATGACTTTGTACTGCTGTTCCACCTGAGCAGAACTTTCTTGCTCAAGATAATTTCATGGCTTGCTCCTCCTCCTTTAAGTGCTTTCTTATATGTCCATCTTTGCTGGGAGCTCTTTATAGAACCATATTTAGAATTTGGTTCTATGAACCTCTATCTTGACACTCTTAACTCCCTTTGTAGTTTGCTTTTCTTTATACAACTACATCTGACACAGTATATATTTTATTTTATTTTATTTTTTGGTTGCTGTTTGTCTCCCTCTCTAGGATGTAAGTTCTATTAACAGAAAAAAGTTTTAGCTGTTTGTTCCCTACACTAGACAAGCACTTTTGGCATATTATACATATTCTCTACATAACATAGCAGATGAGTAGTAATTTTTTTAGTAATTAAAGGAGACACTAAAGTAAATACTCTATTTTTCTCCATATTTGTCAAGGGAATGACAAATATAATATAACCCCATCTTTCCACTATTTTTTCTTTTCCTTTATTTTTCTTTTCTTTCTCTCTTCTTCTGTAGCCCACCTCCTTGGCCCTAACAGTTGGGTGCTGGGGGACTTTGTCCCTGCCACCTTGGCTCCATTTCTGGGCACCGTGCATTTTGCCCTGCTCACAGGGCACTGCTGCCTGGTGTGTCTCAAGTTGATCCTCATAGCCCCGCCCTCTCGACTCTGCAGGCTGGTATCCCAGGGAATTTCACCCCACCCTCTCAGGTCCACTTCTGGGCCACCTTTCACTGGCCCTGCCCTTCATCCCCGCCCCAGGGAGCCGCTCCTTCATATAATTTTAGAAGTGTAGTATCATAATGGCTTGAGTGATAGCACAGCGGTAGGGCGTTTGCCTTGTGTGTGGCCGGCCCAGCTGACCTGAGTTTGATTCCTCTGCCCCTCTTAGAGAGCCCGGCAAGCTACCGAGAGTATCTCACCTGCACGGCAAAACTTGGCAAGCTACCCATGAGGTATTCAATATGCCAAACACAGTAACAACAAGTCTCACAATGGAGATGTTACTGGGCCCACTCCAGCAAATCAATGAACAATGGGAGGACAATGCTACAGTGCTAATATCATAATAAAAATTATGAAATGTCAGTGTTCTGAGGAAAGCACATTTTATAACAACTTCTAAAGTCCACAACTGTATTTTTTTAGCCAAAGAACTTTAGAAAATAAAATGTCTACCTGGAAAATAAAATCCATTTTCATCACACCGTGCAATAACTTTCTGGCCTTTGAGAGGATCCAATTTTCGTGATTTAATTTTCTTTGATGTATTTATTGTAGATTTCTGTTGCTAAAAAGAAAAAAGAATTACTAATACTTTCTAGCAGAAGCTCAATGCAGAGTAAAAATGACAGGGACAGTGTTGTTTGGGATTCTCTATAGAGAAACACATGCGCTCTGGAACTCTTTTTCTTCTGTCAGGACAGGTTTTGAAAACTGAACAGATGTGAAAACCACAGAACAAATTTTGAGAGACAAAATTTTCATCTAATTTAATCAAGCTTCATCAAAAAACAGAAGGTCAACCTGGAGAAGTCCATGTTCTTTCTTGAACATATATCTCTCTCTTCATACTTCACTAAGTGAATTTCTTTTTATAAAACTACTTTGCCTCAGAAAATGGAATCAATCTTTTCCAGAGAATATAAAAAGGATCTGAAATCTTAAAACATAATATTCAATATGTCCATTAAATAATCCAAAATTATGTTTAAAAATGAAGTAAAGATGATCAATTCTTAAGGTTAAAAAGTCAATAGAGTATAATACAAATAAGTATACTTTATAAGGTATGGGCTAATATGTTTTAATGAATGGCAAGTTATTATTTTCAGAGAAGGAATTATAAAAACAAAGAGTCATTGCAGAGAGAAAGATCACTTAAATGCACAGAGAAATAGCATATCACAAGATGCAATATGCTTTCAAATAAACACTCTTGTGAGATGGGATAGAACTCAAGAGTAAAGAACTGCCTCAGATGTGTAGATCCTGGGTTTGATCCCTGGACACCTCCTCACCTCCACTGCTAACTATACTCCCCCCGTCCACCTCAAGACTAGCAACAAGCTAGAGATAGAAAGGATATCCGGTTAACATACACTTAAGATTATAAGCAAGGCCAATTTCCCAATAGTTGGCTCAGTGGCTTTTAATGCATAGACCTGACAATATCAGGGTTGTGGTTTCAAACCCTTGTACTGCTGCATATATAAAGATTATCAAGACAGACTCACCATCTGTTATTCCTGTGAGAGACCCAAAAAGATGGCTCACTGGTTTACTCTACAAGCACAAAGCTGTGAGTTCAAACTCCAGTGATGCTTGCAAGCATTGAGGCCATCCTGACAGCTCTTCTGGAAGAAGGTTTCATGGAAAGGGAAGTGCAAAGGGCAAGCATGAGCTCCTGAGTCTAGTCTGTAGTACTGCACATCAACTAGGAAGTCCTGATAGCCCCACAGTCAAGGTGCCCAGAAAAGTTTGGAAAATAAAGCAAAACAAGAAGTAAGGCAAGGCCTTGTCCCTTCTGATACTACATGATTCTTGAGGTTCTTGCCAGTGTAGTCAGGAAAGGAAAATGAAGGTATCCAGACTGTAAAGTAAAAATTAAGCTACCTTTATTCATAACTGGTCTGATCATCCATGTGGGAAACTTTCGGGGACTCCACCCCAAAACAACCAGAATTAAGTTTAGCATGACTTTGCAATATAAAGTAAACCAAAAATAAATTTTTATGTACTGGCAATGAACAAACTGAAAACTGTATTTTCAAATGAAGTCATTCCCTGGCAGCCGAATACCTCCACACTCCACAATCGCTGCCATGGCCACGGCTGGACTCCAGCTGCTTGGGAATTGCCTCATCCAGAATGAATCTGTTATAAAACTCAGGTATGCAGGATTTGTGACTGAAATCTCCAGGTGTTCATATATTAGGGATGGGGTACTCCTCCCATATCCCTGTACTTCTGGAAGCCTCAACTGTCATGCCCATGACCACCTTTGGCACCAAGTAAACTCATTAACCCATGATCCAGAGACTCATAAATAAATCTCAAAAGAGATCAACAAGTTGTAGAGATGCTTCTGGATCCCACACCAGGATGACTCATTAAGAGCATCCAAAGTCACCATATAGTTTAAAATTTAACTCCAGTTATATCACCCTATTAAAATTTTTGGAATATCCTGGAGTGTACAGCCATTCAGCCACATGACACCTCAAACTCTACATACTGATAGACCAGGAGTACCACACCACACTGGATGTGATGTAAAGTAGAAGGAAACCAATCTCGATTAACAAAATATAAACACGCAAGGCTTAACCTGTAACAACATGTTAGTAATCTCTTGGAAATATTTTGTGATAATTTTGATGAATTATTTATTACAAGCAATACAAAACAAATTGTTCAGGGAGTTGGAAAAATTGGAAATAATGGTGGTGGGAAGGTGCAACGGTGGTGGAATTGGTGTTAGAATATTGAATGTAACAAATCATCATGGACAACTTTGCTGGCTGACTTTGACTGTGAGTGTGGAAAGGTAGGACTACAGCTGAATCTTACGAAGACAATGTTTATGAGAAACAGCCTTGTTCCTGACGCCCCATTCACTCTCAATGGAACGACCATCTCCGAATGCAACAGCTATGTGTACCTAGGTCGAGAGGTCAACATGACAAATGACCTGGCACCCGAGCTGCGCAGGAGGAAGAGAGCGGCTTGGAACGCCTTCAAGAACGTCGAAGAAATAGCTAAGAGGACGAAGAACCTCCGGCTCCGGGCACATCTCTTTGATTCCACTGTTCTTCCTGCATTAACATATGCCTCAGAGACCTGGGCCCTACGCAAACAAGATGAGAACGCTATTCAGGTCTCCCAAAGAAGAATAGAAAGAGCTATGCTTGGAATATCACGTTTCACTCAAATGAGAGAAAGAATCCGGAGATCTGACATCCGTCGGCGATCAAGAATCAGGGACGCTGTCTCATTTGCCAAGGTGTCAAAAATCAGATGGGCTGGTCACGTAATGAGATTTAAAGACGACCGCTGGACTAGAGCTGTTACCGACTGGATTCCACGGATGTCAAAAGACCGCGTGGCCGCCCACCTTCCAGATGGTCAGACTTCTTCATCAATATCATGAACGATCGGTTTGAGGCCCTTCATGTTCCCGGAGCGAACAGATGCCATTGGGCTACACTAGCACGCGACAGGGACAAATGGAGACGTTACTGGCGCCCGCTCGAGCAAATCGACGACTAACGGGAAGTTAAGTGATTAAGTGATTAAGTGATAAACATGCAAAAAATCTGAAAGTCATGCAAAATAAACTCTAGATTTGCCTAATCTAAATTTAAAAATGTTTTCCAAATATTAAAAAATAAAAATAAAATGAAGTTATTTTTCAGCACCAGGGGAAGTATAATTAGAGATAAGTAAAATACACACTAAGTGCCATAAGACATTCTGAGAGAAATAATGTATCTAATAAGTGGAATGATATATGTCCATAAATTAGAAGACCTAACATTAAGATAAGTAGAGTTTCCAAATTAACCTACAGTGTCAATATAATCATATAAAAATGCCAATAGTTTTGTTTGTTTTCAAAAACAAAACAAAAATAATTTTGTTTGTTTGTTTTCAAAAACTGAGAGATTGAACCTGAAATCCACACATAAATGATTCAGAAGAACCAAGCAATTTTCAAAAAGAAAAAAATCTAAAGAGCTTGTACTTTTAATTTCAAGTTTCAATAATCAAGAAAGGTGTTACTCTCATATGGGTAGCTTTATAATTACTGGAAGAGTATTGAAAGTTCAGAGATATATTTATGTTCAACTGTTTTTTTAAACTTTGGGGAAAAAAACCTTGAAGTTTCTATAAAAATTAAACAAACATATTACATGCCCTGGAATACTATTATATATATATATATATGTAAACAAAATGTGTAATCCATACCATGGGCTACTATTCAGCTGTTTAACATGTGATATATCTAAAGGAAACATTAAGAAATACAAGTTTATTAGTAGTTAACCTGTGGTTAGGAGTGCAAATGGACATTTAAATTGTTGAGGCTGATGGAAATGTTCTGACACTGGATTTGTAGTTATAGTTGACAATTTTTTATACTTATGGTTATAGTTGATGTTTTTTTCTAAGTGAACTTAAATGAATTTTATGGTGTGAAATTATACTTCAATAAATCCTTTATGGGATTCTCCCAAGCAATGCTCAGGGATAGGGTGTGCTTGCATGAGCCTGTATTTCAATGCTAGGTCAACAGTTCTTTCAACCAATACAGCTGCGGCTGGTGGGGCTTTGAGTTCTTCAGGGCTACATCTGAGGGTGGCTGAGTAGGGACTCACTGAGTGCTGGGTTTTGAGCTCAGTTTCCAACTGACTACCTTTTGACTCAGTTTCTTATTTTGCTCCTTTTTAGGTTTTGGGGCCATGTGTGTCAGTGCTCAGTGGTTACTTCTGGCTTTGTGCTGGGGTCACTCCATACTCTGGAAACCATCCAGGCCTCCTGCATGCAAAGTATGAACTCACTTCTTACAGCTATCTCTCCAGCCAGTCAAATTTTTTTTAAGAAGCAGATTTTTATTTATGGTTTGCTAAGGTGGGGGTCTGAGCCCATTTTTTTTTTTGCATATAGCTGCCCAGTTTTGCCAGCAACATTTGTTAAAAAGGCTTTCCTTGCTCCACTTTATGTTTAATACATCTACACAATGGAATACTATGAGAGATGAAGTCATGAACTTTGCTTATAAATGGATAGACATGGAGAGTATCATCCTAAGTGAAATGAGTCAGAAAGAGATGGACAGACATAGAAGGACTGTACTCATTTGTGGAGTATAAAACAAAATAACATGAAGCTGACACCTATGGATAGTACATACATGGAACAGATAGATTGCTCCATAGCTGGAAGCCTGCCTCATGAGCAAAGGGAAGAAGGCAGCTGGAATAGAGAAGGGATCTCTAAGAAAAAGATGACTGGAGGAATTGGTCGGGATGGGAGATGTGTGCAGAAAGTAGATAAGGGACCAAATATGATAACTTCTCAGGGTCTGTATTGTAAACCATAATGCCCCCAAATAGGAAGAGATTATGGGGAATCATGTCTGCCATGGAGGTGGGGGAGGGTGGGAAAGGGGGCGTATATCGGGAATATTTGTGTTAGGGAATGTGCACTGCAGAAGGGATGGGTGGTTGACCATTGTGTGATTGTAACCCAAACATGAAAGCTTGTAACTATCTCACGGTGATT